ACCAGAATCCTTCCTTCCTCAGTAACAATCAAAAAGTACTTGGACAAACTCATGGCAGGAAAGTCCGTCACGGGCCATTAAGCACAAAGAGTTGGATACAACACCGGGCTTGAGAGCTCCTTGAGCGGCGGACTGACGGCAGCCGGAGGGACGTGCCAGTGGAGGTATCAGGGCGCACTCGCCCAGTTTTCACCCGCTTTCGGCATGCCCCTGGCCCTGTCGGAAACACCACAGCAAGCTAACCAGCCTTTCAGTCCGACCGCAAAGCTACTGTTAATACTGTTAGGGTTAGGCTGTGCCTCTTCCTCCTGGGACAGAGGCTGTCAAAGCCCTCAACCCTCCTAGGAGAGCCCTAGATGCCACTCACTTTGCTAACTTCAACTCATCAGCCCATTTTGTGAGTTTAACGGCAGGCGAGTTGAGTCTCGTTTCTACAGTACGGATAAACACCCACCCAGGTAGCTCAACATGTTGTTGCTCACTCTGCGAGAGAGAGAGCTCCGCTCACTTCAGCACTTTCCTGTGCCTGGCAGCTCAGAAAGCCGGGCTTTTCATTAGCCAAGAAATTCCAGCATTTGTCCACAGAGACATGAAAAACAGACTGACAACATGGCAATCACCATGACAACATCAGAGTTACCGAAAAAAACAAATAAAGAGCCCAGTAGCTATGGAAACACCTGAGTGACCAAAACCAGACGATTAGCTAGAGAGTCTCTCCGTAGCTTATGGATCGCATCGACGCCACGAGTCCGGGGACTATAATAAACCTGAAGCGTACGAGCCAAAGAGAAGCTCGTCAGCTATGGGTGCAAACACATATACGCATGTGCGCGCACAATAGCGCACCCACACCTGAAAATTAGTACATCCACCAGGGTACAGAGCCACTTACACGGCTGTCCGAGCATCCCTGTATACATATACTGGCACGCAGAACTTGTGTGATTCCTGGCTTTAGCAGTACGCCAGGGCGACTGACAAAACCCTACCGGGTCCTGGGAGAGGGCACCACACGAGGGTCAGCCTGCCCATGCCTTTGGGGAGGCGTGCCGTCAACACCAGCCGCGGCCCGGTGCGGAGCGCTACGGGATGCTCCATGCCCTCCAAGGAGGCGGCACACCACCTAGGAGCTTCGGCGTAGGAGCGCAACCGCCTGGGTTTCCAGCTCCATACAAGCTGCGTTCTGTGCTCCGTCCCCAACCTTCACACGACTTTCGTAACCCACAGAAAGTGAGTTATGAGCAGATCTACTGCTGAAAACAGGCAACCGACAGCCCTTCTGACCACAGCGGCCAAGTCCCCCGCACAACGAACAGATCCTCTCGAAAGATGCCGCTGCCTCCCGTGCTGGGCGCCGTTTCTTGACCACAATTATATACGTCCTACTCTCTTTCTTTGCCCTCCTGCCTCCTCCCTTCCCCCTGCTGAGAAAGCCTCTCAGACCTAATGGTCTGGCACCTCGTGGGCCTCTGATGCCAACGCAGACAGCGCAGTCCAGGCGGACCGGGGGATGGAGTCAGCCCATCGGATGCCAAAGCTTGGCTTCCCGAAACGGTGTCGGTGAGCCACGTTTTGAAGTGGCGGCACCTGCCAGCTCTGGTGGAAGTCAAGCTGCCAGCCGCAGCTCCCAAGCCCAGTTTCACTGCTGTGACTTCCCAGCAGAGCCACCACGTGGTTAAACCTCCTCCCCTGAGACAGAGGAAACTGCGACTGCACCAACTCCCCTTCTTGTTCCACTTAAGCCCGTTCAGCGGGATTAACTGGAGATGCCGTGGGTTACAGCTAGGGCATTACTGGTAGAAACAATAAAAGGAACAGAGACGGATGAGGCAGAGGGACAGAAGATGTGCTACAGCAGGACACGTTGGCTGGAGTGGCCAGGGATTCACAAAACTCCTCTCCAGAGCCATTTGCTGCCAGCATCCTACTTTTGTTGGCGGCACGAGGATGAGG